GGTCACCCCCAAAATCTTGGGGGAGGGGGCTGTAAAGTTTGGGTGTTCTTCCATAGAGACGGGGGCACGATAAAGCGGTGTGGACACAACGGGGGGCACCTCAAAATTTGGGCTCTCCCCTAAAATTGGGGTTTTCCCCCCCCCTTCCCCCAAATGTGTGCAACCTGCCCCCCCTCCCCCAAAAAAAATGTGGGTGTCCCACCATCAAATTAATGGGGGGGGGGGGAAGAGGGTGAATGGGACACAACGGGGACTGTGGTGAGATGGAGAGGGACGATGTGCAACACTGGGGCACCCCAACATTTGGGTCAGTCCCAAAATTGGGGCGTCCTGCCCCAAAATATGAGCCCCCCCCCCCCCACCTCAAACTGGGGAATCCCCCCCGAGTCGTGTCAACAGGGTGTCAAATTTGGGGTTTTTCCCCCTCCATCATGTTTACGGGGCTCTTCTGAGGTCTCAAATTGGGGTTACCCCCGCTTTCCCAAATGTTTACGGGTCCATATGGGGTCACAAATGTAAGTTGTGTCCCCCCCCCCCCCCCCCCCCCAAAAAAAAAGATTTTATGGGGCCCCTACGGGGGTCTCAAATTCAGGGTCTCCCCAACCCATCACGCTTATGGGGTCCCTCTGGGAGTCTCACCTGTCGTCAGTGGGGTGGGCAGCATCGGGGGGTCCTGGTGGGGCTGGAGGGGGTCCCTGAGGGGTTCCGGGGGGGCCCTGTGGGGCCGCAGACCCCCCCTCAGCCCCCTCCTCTGGTGGCCCCGAGCCCAGGCTGGATGTGTCCATGGGGGACCCCTCCAGGGCGCTGCTCACCGCCGTCAGCGCATCCGAATCCTCCGCGCGCTCCGGGGACAGCGAGGCTGGGGGGGGGAGACCCTAAATGGAGGCTAAATCCCATAAATAGGTGCCAAAGAGCCCCAAATCCACCTTAACGGCACCAAAAGGATCCTCGAGGCCCCCAGAACAGTCCTAAAAGTCACCCGAATTGATCCTAAAAGAGCCTGACGTCGATCTTAGCATCCCTCCGTCAATCCTAAAGCCCCAAAAGAGATCCTAAAGCCCCCGCGTTGATATTAAAGACCCCAAAACTGATCCTAAAGCCCCTCCAAATTCACCCTAAAGCCCCCACGTTGATATTAAAGACCCCAAAACTGATCCTAAAGCCCCTGCAAATTAACCCTAAAGCCCCCGCGT